TATATATATATATATATATATATATATATATATATATATAAACCTATTTCTTTAGCTCAGGAGGCTGAGGCAGGAGGATCGTGAGTTCAAAGCCAGCCTCGGCAACTTATCAAGGTCCTAAGCAACTCAGCGAGACACTGTCTCTAAATAAAATATAAAAAAGGGCTGAGGATATGGCTCCGTGGTTAAGCGCATTTGGGTTCAATCCCCAGCACAAAAATAAATAAATAAATGCATAAATAAATAAAAAAACAAACTATTTCCTAAACATTTTTCCCACTCCATTTCCTGTCCTCTGCAATTTCAGAAGAAACTTCAAAAAAGAAAGGTTGTTTTTCATGGGTAATCAACCATTCCCTCCTATGGCTTTTTTTTCTTTCATGAATGTTATCACAGGGTTGTGAGCAGTGATTTCCTGGGAGTCTTAAGAAGCTCAATTGGTTCACAGGTGGAAGAAGAGAGATCAGTTGCAATGAAGAGGAAAATCCTTCTTTGGAAAGTAACTTTCCTTTTGAGAACACTGTGTAAGAAAAATGTACTGTGCTCTGCTCTTAGAAAGGCAGGAAGGTTTATAAAGGAACAACAGGATGGGTTGACGAGATGAAGAAACTTGAACTTCAAGCAGTAGCTAAGGCTTACTTTCTCCCAGTCACTTTGATTTCCATTGTATCCTAAACTGTTAGTGTTAAGCTAGACAGTAGTGAACATCAGATACACTCACCAAGCTGTGTGCAGTGGTGCACACCTGTAATCCCAGTGATCACAAGTTCAAGGCCAGCCTCAGCAATTTATCGAGGCCCTAAGAAACTCAGTGAGACCCTCTCTCTAAATAAAATATAAAATAGGGCTGGGATGTGGCTCAGTGGTAAAGTGCCTCTGGGTTCAATCCCCAGTACCAGGAAAAAAACAATTGTTAACACAAACAGAATGAGAATCAATAGTTAAGGAAGGAAAAGGGATGAGGATGTTTGGAGACAAATACAATGGCAGTGTTTGAATTCTTGAGTCCCATCTGCCTGAGACACTTGTTCATCTCAGTTATTCTTGAAGATTAGGTTTCCTGAGAAGCAGACTCTGAGATGACAGTAGTGTGCAGAAGTTTTATTAGGGAATGTTTTTGGGAGATAAAGACCTGCAGAGGGAAGATAAGAAAGTAGGAGAGAGCAAAAGGGAAAATTGAATAACCATGTGGTCACACTAAGACCTCCACAATGCTGGAGAGAGAACTGAAGCTAGGATGACCCTCAGTGACTTTGGGAAATGTGGTTTTCTTCACTGAGACAGTCGGGAAATAAATGCTTCATTTTTTAATTTGGACCTGGTGGCCAGGCTTTAGTATTTAACCCAGTTACTTAAGACAGAAATTCCCAACACTTACTACTTCCTACTTTAAAATTAAAAAAAAAAATGTAGTTGTAGATGGACAGAATGCCTGTATTTTATTTGTTTATTTTTATGTGGTGCTAAGAGTTGAACCCAGTACCTCACAAATGCTAAGCAAATACTCTACTTCTGAACTACAGTCCCAGCCCTCTACTTCTTACTTTTAAAAGAACACTTTCAACTGGATTTCTACTGTTAATTTTGAGGAGTGTTCTTACTAACTCATGCTTTTATGAAACCCACATTTATTCCATAACCAGAGTCTCAAAGTTTAATGAAAGTCCAACAATATTGCAGGAATGGGATTCAGATACTTCATCTCCTGTTTGAAAGAAAAAAACAAGGCAA